TGCCGTGGGTGCTATATCCTTAGGGCCCCCTCCCACGCCCCCCCCCGGCACCTCCCCGCCCCTCCACAGGGGGGCCCCGTCATACGATTTCAAAGTACTGTGTTAACAACAAGAACTTCCTAAGTGTGGGGGGGGGTTCAAATAAAATGTCACGTGTTTGTGTGTACAGCCCGTGCACATTTGTAACCTTTAACCTTGTGTTAGACATGGCTTTTCTAACAAAGATCTAAAATGACGACCATGTCGTGTATACATGTGAGCTCTTCTCTCTCTCTGTGTGTGAAGGAATTGTGTTATTTCTGCTCTGCCTAACCTGAAAACAATGGACTTCAGTGCTGTAACGAAGCAGGAGAGAGAGATGGCGCAGATCTGGCATTGCAGCAACAGCCGCAGGAGAAAGTAAGTGTTACATTTGTGGCACTTTTTTTTTGTTAACAACTGCAATCAGGAAAATGCTGTTTTCCTGATAACACCTCTATCCACTGTGGACAGAATTGGCCCTGGCTAAAATCTGATTGGCCCCCTGAAGTGCTTCTGTCCTGTCAGTCATCTATTCTTTGGACAAATAATTGGCCCCACTCCGAATGTTGTGCCCCTTACTCAGAATCCTAGATATTACTGGTCTCAAGAGTAGTAGTTTTCAGTCAGTCTAACATACATATCTATCCTTGGGACAAATAATTGGCCCCACTCCAAATGTTGGGCCCCTTACTCAGAATCCTAGCTATTCCTGGTCTCAAGAGCAGTAGTTTTCAGTCAGTCTAACATACATACACATAACATATTTTATACACTGAACCAAATATTCTTTGCAACGGTTGGTGAGTTTTATCAGGTGGTAAAATACCATTTCCAAACAGGAATACTCTAAATGACTCGATACAACTTTTCAAGTCGAAAGTCTTTAATGAATTAATTAAACCCAAAAAAACAAAAGTTTAAAACTTTTTGGTACTAGCCTAAGATATTACAAACAATTGTCAGAAGGTATTACATGTTTGAGTAACAAAACAAAGGAAACAGAAATGCCAAAAAACGCATTGCAAAAGAAGCTCTAATCAGTTGCATGATTGAAAAAGAAAAAAAATCAACAACAAAAAAAAAAAAAATCACAGCCTTTAGATCATCCCTTTAGAGACTCGTGAGCAGCTCACCATGTTCTATGGCTGCGCACAGTCACATGCTCTCCTCCAAAGAGCAAATGTACATTTAAAACACAAATAAATTATCAAAAGGAAAAACATTTGGGATCATGTTATCTGCTGTTACGCATGGGTTGTTAACGCTGTCCTGCACTGCTACCAGGGTTAGTTTCGTATCATAAATGTCTGAATTGACAGCGAAAAGCGTTGCAGTGCTCTTGTGTTACATAAAAACATTTATTAGTCGCTGTAAGACAGCCAATCCTGGCCCTGAACTCTCTGCCAAAGAGGAACTTCATATAGTCCGTCATTTGTTTCTTTTTTCTTTTAATATATATATATGTGTATATATTCAAAAACTCTGTACAAAGATGGCATAAGATTAATAATGTCCCTGCACTTGTCCCCCAATCACCCCCCCATCTCTGGAAGCCTCCACTGCTGCTGAACGTGTGCATTTTTGTGATTTTACATTATAGAATCTACCAGCCCTGTATAGAACGTAATAAAACAGCCATAGACAAATTACCGTCTGTAAACTTGAATAGATCAGGGCATTCAACAGGGTCACTCATTTCTAAACCTATTCTATTAATAGGCCCCAAGGGACCCCTTCCCCGCATGTCCAATTACTCATCAGCCATGAACTGATAGATCATGGACCACGAAAGACTTCACTGCAATGATAGTCTTCCACTGCTACATGTCAGTTACTGAAGTAAAATGACTAAGAAATTATCTAGCTATAGATGTGAGATTAGGGTCATGTGGAGGGCAAAGGGCAGCATGTTTGAAAAAAAAAAAATTTTTACATCCTATAACATCCCAACACGGAAAGAAAAAAGTGTCTCAGTTGGTTTTTTTTTTTTTTTCTTGCTATGAATGAAGAAATACTGAGAAATTAACATGGTGAGGCCTCAGGACAATGGAGCAGTTTCAAACAAACCGAGAGCACATTTTGAGCTCATGTTTCATGTGGCGGGTGGGGGAAGAAAAAAAAAAATTTAATCAAAGCGTTGCACCACTGAAACCATGACAATTCCCATTGTTACACTCAATATATAATAACCATTCCTCTTATTCAAGTGCTGATTGTATTTTAACACCCCCGCAGCTCTGTCCAGGATGAAGATACAGTGCATTGTTCCATGACTTATAAATAACAGTCAGCGGTGTGAAGTTAGCGTCACCTTTCTCGGTACAGGCAAGAGACGATAACAAATAGACACAGAGACAGTCCTTTAAAAACATGAGCACAATCCGACAGATGATTAACAGGGATTTTTTTTTCTTTCCCCATCCACAGTCGGTTCTGAGACTTCCTCAGATCAACACATGACAAACAGTTGGCGGCCTTGTGGGTGCAAATATGAGCAGAGAACATGGCCCCGTCTACATTACACCTTCTTCCATTACCCATGTTGAAGAGCAGTAATGGTCGGTCGTACTGTGCCATCATCTTACAGTGTTGTCTGTCTTTAGAGGCATAGCTAAAGGGACCAGGATGTAGAAGAGTGAGGAGGCAGCAGTGACACAGAGAGGGGAGCAGGATGGGAGGAGTTACATTTGTGGCCGAGCTGTCGAATCAAGGAATGGCAAACTGCACCACCAGTTCTTCCTTAGCATCCACTTTGATTTGAGAGATTGCACTGTAAGCGTACGCTGCTATCTTGGCCACCTGCAAACACAGTGGGGGAGTTGGGGTTATTTGAGCAATTCACATCAGAATCGTTTGTCCAACCGATGCCATCTGGATCTATTTTGAGACAGATATTTGGTGACACACGCCCACAGAGAGGGGAAATACTTCACACTTCCACGAGGCACATACCTCGGCACATGTCTCGGATTACTCACACAAAGAACAAGGAGTATTGCATCTTGAAAAAAAAAAAAAAA